GCGAGGCGAAAATTCTTCAACGGTTACCTCGAACGTAGGATTATTCGAATGTCGCGAGCGGGTCGCCAAGCGTCCGGGCCCGCGAGTAACGGTACCCGCAATCGAAAATCGCCTGGTGACGTCACGAATGCCTGCGATCAAACGTAACGACACCGACGAGCCTTTCGCCGATCGTTCCTCGGTCAGCTCTCTCGGTAGCCGCGGCAAAAGGCCGCGATCTCCGGCGAGATCGGAACGTTAGGAGACCTCGGGGCTGCCGGCGTTGCCGCGGCTACTATCCGTCGCGTGCTGCGATCGCTCGCAGTTACTCAAAGTCAACGTCGATAGTCGGGCGGGAGTGAAAAAAGGACGGCGCAACACCTGCGCGCACGATTTATCGGGATCCCCGCGCGGCGCCGTTCTCACGATGCTGAGATCATTTCTCGAATAGTTTACAAGCGATCGAGGCCGCGATCTTACCCGGCTCGGCTCGCAAACGCGCCGGAGCGATTGTCTGCGAGGACAAAACTGGAAAAACCAGTCGGCGGAGCGGGAGCCGTTTCATTAATAATCGTAATACCGATCTCCGCCACCGAAACCGCTCGATCGTTTGCGACTCCGGCCACTTAGAGGGAAAAAGGAAGAGCGAAGGCAGCTTCGGCAACGAAATCGGAGCACTCATTTGCGTGTCGTTCGGGAGAGATCAATTTCGAGGCAACGGTGCCCGGTGCACTCGCCATTTTTACGGCGCGCGCCATCTTCGTCCGATCAGGACGGTCCTGTTCCACTGCGGCCACCGCCGAGCGGTTCCTTTCCTCTTTAGCAGTTCCAAAGCATAAACAGCTGACGGTAGAGTCACTCTTAACGATCCGTGTTTATTCGTAACTGGTTTCCGAGTTACCTTGACGTCGTCGTAGTTCTTCGGTGAAATTTCATTTGAAACTTTAACGACGGTCAATTAGCCGGAAGCTGTCGATGTAAATAATCCAGAGCAACCGGGCTCCTTTAAATTTCCAAGTATCAAGTCGCTGAATCTCGCAAACTCTTTCGAGCCGCGATATGACAATTTCCTTGTTATCCCGTTTGTTTAACCGTTACCTTCAGTCGGAAATATGCGGCGTCGGAAACGAGACTCGGAGGACAGAGGGTGCACGGTCAGGGGCTGAATAATTCAAAGCGGAGAGAGAAAAAATTCTCGTGGCACGCGATTCATTTGGCCGACTATTCTGAACCCGTAATAAGGGTAAACCTATCCCGCTGAGAAGGGACGTTAAGTCCAGGAATCTCCGTGGCTTTCATACAGGGCCGATACCGCGTTAGTTTTTCTTTGTCCCTTTTATTCACCGTTTATCCAGATAAAGCGTCGTTTGCTTTAAGAGGGCGATAACGACCACGTACGCGGGCACGTTAGGCGGCCGCGTACGTGCAACACGGCCGGGGATCGATAACGCCTGCCTGCTTTCGTGAACGCTGCAATTTCAGCTGCGACGATAGCGGGCGACCCTTTTTCCCTGGCACACGAACGCGTCCCTGAAAAATTAGAGTTTCCTTCGCCGCCAGTGCGCCGCCCTCCGAGAACCACGCGCAGCGGAACCTCGTGAATCTCGGTTGGCCACGGCTCGCTTAGATCGCGAGATAAAACTGTATCTAATCGTATAAATCCTCCGCTCGTAACGCAAGATTCCCCGACACGCGGAATCTTTTACGGTTCTCGAAAACCGAGGATCGCGAGGTCGAAGACCCACGTATCCCCGACACTCTACATTCCACACGATTTACTCGCGAACCGGAAAAAGTCGTTGCAGGATCGCGGGTGAATCGACGATCGTGAGAAGAAACGCTCGCGAGGTGCGATGAGATATGACTGCACGAGCCTGCGGTTCTAACCAAACGGCGCAACTTCGCCGGTGAGACGCGTCGGTTCGCAACGAGACCGTGCTGAAAACCGTCGGGAAGACTATTATGGCATTCAAAGAAGAAAAGTCGAGGAATCGGCAGGTGTCCGCCGCCACACGGCGTTAATTGAATATTCCCCGGCGCGTTCCGCGCGACACCGGCCCCGCCGCGGATACAACGCTTAATACGCCTGACAAATTGCCGAGCCGCGCGTACCGTGACTCCGAACCGGGCCCGTAACTCGTCCATTTTTAACAGGCAAATAACAAGTTTGTCGTCGAGCGCGACGGCGGAACGGCAGCCGACGTTCTGCGCTTGCATTTTTCATCACGCTGATGACAAGGAATCGCGTTGCCGTTTGCGGGTTCGATTACAGGAGGGCCGTGCTGCGATCGAAGGAACAAATTGTGCACCGCACGCTCGCGTTATATGAATGATCGAGGCCCCGTCGCTCGCGAGATCGCCAGGATTGCTCGATCCTCGCGTAAAGACGGGCCGGCCGGTCATAACATCGGGAAACGTACGAACGACGCTTCTGTCCGGGGATTCGTCGAGTCCCGCGGCTAGCCCGCGGGATGACGGACATAAAAACTAGAGAAGAAATCGCCGATAGCTTCGGGGAGGGCTCCCGCAGCTGATGCCAGCTCAGCTGCTCAAAATGGTTTACCGTGAACGGTCAGCGGAATCCTTTTTCCTCTGGATTTTTCCAATTTTTCGTTGCTCATGGGCTGACGCGGCGAACAACTATCCGTCGAGAAAGGAAAGGGGTCTTTCTTGAAATCTCGTTTCGATACCGACGCGAAGCGTACGTACTATCGCCTAGTAAATTTGAAAATGCGTGGGAGGTGAAAGGCATTTCCACGTGGAATTAGTCTGCAACGAAGACGTTGCTTTGGTATTGTGTATGTTAGGTGAACACGATTGGAAACGTGGAGGTTACCGATGAAAATAGAAGGAATGCTGGGTTTCTTAACACTGGATTTGCGGAACCCAATTTGACGGAAGTTTTAACACTTTGCGGACGAAGATTGGTCGAAACATACAAAATCTTCAACATATCAAGCTAAATTAAATATCAATTGCTTAATTGATAGAAAGAAAGAAAACAACGTGCTGATCTCTTAATGTTCGACTAATTAGATCATATTTGCATGACTCAGTCTTCCAAATCTGAACATTTCATCTCACCGAAATAGCGACATCCGTCCGCAAAGGGTTAAACGTTATTCAGGAACAGTTTAAGTTGATTTCTTAATCCTTCAATCTTGAAGCTACGATTTTCTCCATATATAAACGAACACGTAGCTTCTTAGAAACAATAGAATAAACTGTATAATAAACGCGCGTGAATCTAGTATTAAGAAAGCGCTTTTAGTATCGTCCACGCGAGTATTCGATAAATTTACGCGAATCCATGGATTTCTATGGAATCAAACGAGCGTTACTTAAAAAATCCATCGCGACGGATTCGACATTAGCATTCAACCGCCGTTTGCGAAACGTATTCCAACAGGAATATTATTTATGCCCCGTAGAAGTCGAAGACGAAACCGGCCGATTAATATTCCGGTCGGATCGCAACGCGAAGGACCGTCTGGGAAGGATCGGCCGGCTTTTCGAGTCCGGCGTCGGTTAGAAACTGTTGTGCCCGGCGCAAAGTTCAGTGTCCGGAGCAGCGGGGGACCGTCGGAGCGACGGCGAAGAAACCTGTGTCGACAGCGGCGGGCGAGCGCAGCGGGCGTCGTCGACTCAGTTTTTTGGTTCGTTAGACGAAGCTTGTGTCGCGGCATGTGGCAGCGACGAATTTTCGTGGAACTTTGTGCGCATCTTGCCCCACCGGCCGGAGACGCGGAGGAGAAGCTGAGGAGGATGGAATTACAGTAAGAGATTTAAAGGGAGACGGGCCGGCGGCCGAGGAGTCCGTCCGACGCGAACGTCGGCTCCGGGTTATATGCTAATCGGCGACTCGACTCCGCCATTGTGCCAACACCTGTTCGGTTTCGAATTTCGCGCGACGAGGTGACGACGAAATGTTGCTGCCTCGGTGTCACGGGAGGACAAGGGTGTGCCCGTAACTGTGGGGACTGGAAGTGATCCAGCGTCGGTCTTGGAAGGGCCCGAGAAAGGTGTCTATCGGCGTACCCTAAACTTGGTCGACGCGCTGACAGAGGACTTGTAAATATACGGTGAACTTTCTTTACTGAAAGTCCTTTAAAGCGTAACAGGCATTTGGAACGGTAAACGATGATCGAATAGCAATGATTCTTTAGTTTGTATGAGTTCGTTATGAAGAATTGAAGAGAAAGAGGAAGGTATTATTCAGATTTACTAGTATGGTGGTTTAAATTACAGTCTTCTAATGATTGTTTACTATCGAAACGTCCTTAGTACCTTGACGTGTAATAAGGAACAGACGAACCGAAGCCAAAGGACAACGCGTTAGGAACGATTCGAGAGAAAGACCACGTTTCTGTTTACGTTTGCTACGTCCTGTTGGGCACACTATAATCGTCGCCGTGGTACGATTCAGGGAAAGAAAGGATCGATGGAAGGTAAGACAAAGACGAGACGACGATGGAAGATCGAGCCTGACGGATAAAAAGGAGAGACGGCAGTAGGCGAAACTGCATCTCGCCTTCACCCAGCTGCCTAGCCAATCAGAAACGACCTTCGTTTCACTCTTCCGTCGGTCGCGAGAGTATCGATCTCTCCTGTTTCGTCGAACAGGACGAAAAACGAACGGGTGAAACGGATAATTCCTTCTCGCGCGAGGTTCCACGGAGCTAAGAATAACCGTAAAAATCCGACGAAACGACGCGGCGAGTTCCGGATCTGATGAATACTCGAAAGATAATTGGAGACGCGTGAATGGAAGCTTTACGAGGCTTCCAGGCGGGGTATCTGGGATGAAAGGAGATTTCCAAAGTTCCCGAGCGCCGCCGCGCATCCCAATCACGGCAATGAAATATCTGAGAGGCACTCTCTCGGCGGAGATAGAAAGACGGACGGCGACGGGGACGTAAAGAGCGAGCGAGAGAGGGCGCGACAATTTCGGCAGCGATAATCAAAGGGCGGTTCGCGCATCCACGGGATGCTTCGGGCCGGCGAAACTATTCCGGGCTCACCTTGTTTCCATACCAGGCAGGGCGGGAAGATCTCCGCGCCGCAAAGTGCAGCCGTACGGCGAAGGGAACCTCGCCGACGAGACCGAGAACGGCGCAACGACGGCCGGGTGTCTTCGGGGCGTGCTCGACTGAAAGTGTCGGCGGCGTCGTTGACGATGGTACTGCCGGTGGTAGTGATGATGATGATGATGGTGATGGTGATGGTAGTGCTGGCGGTGGTGCTGAAACGGTATCTGGATCCTGTGGATCGCGCTCGGCACGCGCCAGCAGAGCACATACGGGATCCCGAAGTCGGGCTTGAGCTGCACCACTGGCAGCAGTCGGTATTCCAGCCCACGTGGATGAAGGGACACCGGTCGGCAGCTCTCCTCGCCGGATCCGTGCGCCAGGGGACGACCCTCTCCGCGGAGGACGTTGTAGTCGCGCCAGCAAAGGTCACGGGGTAACATGTCACGGGGACATCCCTGCCAACCACGGACTACCGGCTCCCGAAGCGTCCAGTCATCTCGACAACGCCGCGCCTAGCTCGGGATTCACCGGACGATCGTCTTCGAGCGAGTTAGGCCTCTGCTCGTTAGAGGATTCGAGGCTGGACACTGTGGGCCTCTACACTCGCGAAACAGGCGCGTCTCGGGTGGCGGTCATCGAGAGGTTACGGTTCTCCCGAGAATCCCCTAAGCACTGTTTGTTCGTCCGTACGGAGTCCTCGGAGAGGGCTCTCGCTGATACTAAACGCGCACGAACCACCGCGGCACTTGTAACGCTTCGGGTCCTGTGCAAACGAGTTCCCTCCGGTGGCCAGTCTCTCGGATACACTCCGGGGAGGATCAGGGAAGAACAGGGGCGGCCTGTCGAGTAGCAGACGACTGGTTCGCGGCGACACCCGTCACCGGGCCGAGAAACACCATCCTGAAGGCTGGACGGTCGTGAGATTCCGTTCCGCGAGGATCGCCGGCGAGACACTCCCTTTTCGCGTGCGACGCGACGCGAGCCACCGACCTTAGATCGACTCGCGGACGAGCGGAGCCGGGCGGGCGAGAGCGATGCCGGCGAACGAACCCAACGAACGAACGGACGTGGAACGAAAGCCGGGAGAGGAAGGAACGCACAGCCCCCGAGGAGGATCCGCGCGGCGCGGCGCGCCACGAATTTCAAACTGAGCTGCGCGCGCGCACGTCGCGCGGTCCGTCCCGTGCACCGTCGCCGGTGTCGTACGGCGCGGGGAAGGCGAGGCTGCGCGCAAAAAGAAACGCCGGACAACGGCCACCGAGAGAACCGTCTCCGTCGGCGACCGGGCACAACCCGTCTCCGCTCGTTAACCGCGCGGCTCGCTCGAATGACGCGGCGAGCGGAGTTTTTCCCGCTGGCGCGGCACACACGCGGGGCCGCCGCCTATCGTCCCGCGGACTCTCCTTACCGCGGCGATTAACAATTTAACGAGCATCCTCGTTTTTCGCGCGGCTTCGCGGAGAAACAGTGGAGATCGCGACCGCGGAAGCCGGCGACCCCGTGGCGGGAGCTTCTTCCCAGGATGCCTGGGACGGACGGACGGGTTTCGGATCAGTGGATTTCAGTGCCGGTTCAGTTTCTTTGGAACGCGTTTCTTAGATTTTCCACGATGAAACGGATGCTTCGGTGCTCGCTGCGCGATACGACTGGCTGCTCGATGGAATTGTAAAACGATCGTGAGATAGTTTCAACTTGGACGCGCGATTCCTCTGGGACGATGACGGTTCGCGCCGAGTCGGGTGGAATGTGATTATCGGTCGCGATGATTCGATTAGGAGTTGTTCTCTGTCATCGAGACCGAGGTGATTTCGGCGAGTCCGGATCGAAGGCGAATAGAAAATTGCATTTTAATCGTCGATCTCGATACGTAATACACAATTTCGTTCGACTGCGGTTGTTCTGAAACGCGGAGCGTTACCGTTGGCAAAAGGCCGATTCGAAGTTTCCTCGAGCAGAACCGCTCGCCTCTCTCGACGGTAAACCATTTAGCAACGTCTAAATGTCAGCGGAGAGATCGCGACGGCCCGCTAATGTCTTCGGCTATCGGCGCCGCTTGAAAATTTAGCGTTGGTCATCCTCGTGACCGCGGTAATTGCGAGAGAGCCTCGGGATCGTTGGCGAAATCGACGAGTCGGCCTCTCGGCGACGACTCCTCTTTTATTCCCCGCCGTTGGCGAACTTCTCATCGTCGGGAGCTATTACGATTCCGTGGACTGGCCTCTAATAGGTATCGATTCCATTTTTTCCCCGCGTGCACGCTCTCTCGCCGGAACTCCCAACGACGCCGATGAATTTCGCGATAATTTCCAATCGACCGGGCGCAATCCGATACGCGTTTAGGCGCGCCGATTCGCGGCAGTCGGGCCCCGCTAATGAGCGCGAACCGGCCGCGGAATTTCAATCGCGGGCCCGTCAACCGGCCGATTCCGCGTTATCTCGGCCGGGACGCGCAACGCACCTGCCACTGCGGAAATTTCACCGCGAGGGCTGGCGGGAAGGGTGAACGGTCGCGTGGGTCGTTTACACCTGCCCCCCTTGACCCCCTCGCGCCCTCGGCCGTACAGGTGCAGACCGGCCGATGCCGTCACGAATCCGCTGACCATCGTGACTAGTTTATACGGACACGATTTACGGGCTTGCCTTTCGAGAGACGCGTTCACGCGACGAAGTTGCGACCGGCTCGTTATATCACCCGAGTGCGAAGTTTTTTCGATTACGCGCTGGACGGTAATGGCGAACTAGAGTTTCTACGGAAAATCGTATATTTCGTTAGCTTGATTTATAAAGGATACCTTCGATGCATCCTTTCATTCTAATGTAAATGATTTTATTGCAAAGATTTCAATAGTGAGGTCAAATTATAGTGTCAGTCGTCTCAGTGTTTCATTTAAAAAATCTGACTTCTTGCGTTCCTCTGAATACAAAGGAATCTCAGTTCAGATTCACTTTTCTTGTAACACATTTCAATAGAGTTCGTCCTCATCGTAACCCATCAAGTTTTAGCAGCTGATGGAGTCTCTCCATGCCTCAATATCTACGACAAGCGGTAAATGTCGGTCGAGCGATGGGTTCTCGACAGGAAAGTCGAGCAATAGAGAGAAGAAGGACTTACTATCCCGAGAGGACGTCTCGGGACGACCTTCATCCTTCATCGATCGATCGCGTCTCGTTCACGGAGCATCCGAGAAATCCCGTTTCCCCCTCCCGTTTATTACCGGAGTCGATGGCGCGGTGCTCCAGCGAGACGCATAATCAGCCGTTACAACGAGTACTAATTGGTAACGAGCGAAGATCGCGGCGACCGATAGCGAGGCCCGCCGATCGTCTCGATCGCGGGGCGGCCTTTCATCGTGTCGCAAGACGGGCGAGAGAGAGAGAGAGAGAGAGAGAGAGACGCGCGGAACGCGGGCAATTTTCAATTACTGCCGCGGGTAAAATCGAGAAGCCGGTAACCGTTAATTATCGGAGGTGATTCCGCTGCTCGGTAAATAAATTTCCACGTTTACCCTCGTTAACGCGACCCGTCGCGCCTCGTTCCCGGACGCTTAGAGCCGATAATTTGTTTCCCCGGTATTCTGCTTCTTTAATAAAAGTTTACACGGCTACAACAACTTTCGCGCGCGCAGCCAATGATACGAGCCTTCGGCACGATGACAGACACGTTGATCGCCGATGATAACCGAGCTTCCGGAGCTGTCGAAAACGATTACAATAAGGAAACCGATGTCGAGTGGGAATGTTTAGTATCAATGGCGCAGTAGTGTTTAATCTCTGAAATTTGGAACGATGAAATCATATACAGAATGTTCAGAATTCTAGTACTCAATGCGATCCTTAAAGTTTGGCCAAGTTTCATAGACAGAATAGATTTACGGTTTATAGTTCAGAAGAAAATTGACGCGGAACTATCGTAGCGCAGGTCTGACCAATCGCAGCCATCTCGCTTGTTCGAGGGTTAAACGCGTTACCCGCCAACCTCTTTTTCCCAGGAACAAGACGTAACGACGCGTCCGAGGTGTACACACCGGCTCGCAGGAAAATCGAAGATAAGTGGTTGTCCGACGAGCTTTTTCAACAGTCTATAACGATAATCGCCGATACCGCTCTCGTGTGCTGCCTCTCCCCCTTCATCTTTAATTACGAACGGCTTAACGGAGCGGTCCGAAGGGGAAATCGTTTCATGGGACCGTGGATTGCGCCCGGTGAACAGCCGCGATGGCAGCCACGATGCCTTTGAGAGCCACTCGTTAAATATCGATACGTTAGATAACGCGAACGCAAAGCGATAGGATCAAACGGCCCGTTTCCATGCAGCGGCGGCAGGGTTTAGAAACGTGCGCCAGAATTCTATGGCAACGACGATAATACGATAATGTTCCACGCTCGTGCATAACCCGTGGCCCCTCCGCGCGGCCGCCGGAGAACTCCTCGATCGCATTGCGCGTTCCCTTATCAATATTCAAGCGCATCGACGGGCCAGCGCGCGCCCCGTCGTTCCGGTTTTCGCCTTTGAACCGCGCCAGGATTTCTTTTCCCCCGTAAGCCGAGTTAACCGGCGATCGCTGGGCAATTACACACCACCGGCGACGCGACGATAACGCGAACGGCACGGCCTGGCAGCGCTCGCCGACCTCCCTCGCTTCGCGTCGGAGGTCTTTCACCCTCGATCCGCGGCTCGCTCCGCGCGAAGCGATGGCGGAGCAAGGTCCTCTCTTTTCGGGACAACGGGCGATCGAAGTAATCGAGAAATAATAATTTCGATAATTTATACGGCTCCGCCTCGAAGCAATCACCGGCGAATTCCGAGGCGAGACCGTTTCAAGGTGAAGACAGAATTTGCGAAAGCACCGCCGTTACCCCGCCGGTTTTACGAGCCAGCAACGGCCGGCATCGCGCGAACACGAATAACAAAGGCGGGGATGCACGCGGAAATCTGCATGCTCCGCGTCGCGCGGATACGTGATATCCTTGCAAACTCGCTCCCGTGTTCTTGTCTGACATTGGGAAGCACGCATCCGAACGCGGTAAAACCTCTCGCGGCGCAAACAGGCGTGCACGGGTCCCGAAGAATGCGAGACCGCTGCGAACAGCTCGACCCTCGAGTAAGTTCGACGAATTTTCGTGTAGATCGAGCGGTCTTGGCAACGTTCGTCGATGTTCCTATTACCCCTTTGATCTCAAAAGGTACTATCAGTCTCTATGAGTTCCGATATACCAGAATTATCGTATAAATTCTTATATACAGTATTAAGTTTCATATAACTCATCGATACGAAACACTGAAACGACAGAGATTCGTTTCTGAATATCCATTCTCTCATTGGTTTCGAAAGTGTCGCCGATACGTCGCCGGAAAATGTATTTCTATCGAGAAACTTCGAAGTTAATAGGTTTCGACGCGTGAAACTTGGCCGGAGACCAAGACGAAAACAAATACGAAAAACAGGGATGAGGAGGGTTAGCAAAAAATCAGATCCAGAAGGGAAAGTTTTGATCGGAGGGTGCCTCCGTGGACGGCCCTGGGCGACGCGCGCTCCGCCGCCTCCTTCGCCCAAGGACGGCTCGGCTCGTCGAAACTACCCTCGCGCAACCATTGGCTCGGCAAATCGCATGCGCGCCGTTGAAAACCACCCCTATCGATCCGCCGCCGCCGCCGCGCCGCGTCGCCCTCCCTCGTCTCGCGCGCTCGTCGGTTCTGCCTCTGTCTCGCCCACGCTTCCGCTCGGTTTCGCCTTCTCGCTCTCGCCCGACCGCGCGCTCATCCCCTTTCGGCAAGGACATTCGCACGCAAGATCCACCCAGATACGAGGTGGATCTCCGACGACTACTGTTCGGTTGCCGCGCCAACGCCACCGGCTGGCTGGCTCTGTCCTTTCAGCTCTGCCCGATTGTTTTTAGGCGCGCGCTGCCTGCTGCCGGCGAGATTCGCGCCGCGCCGTCCCGGGAAGGACGCGTTTCCTGGCTCTGACACTTCGCGTTTGTCCCGGTTCTTGCGTGGAATTCTGATCTCGGAACGCGGCGGGCGCGGGCGGAGGCGAAGGGGACACGCTCTCGGGTGGATGCT